TTTTCTCTCTTTTGTCAGCTTTGAAAGAACTTTTCTATGATATGAAGACAAGTGGTGTCTATTGCAGTATAGCACTGGCACCATCAAACAAATCCAGCACGCCTCATTGTGACCATAAAAGCAAACCCCCGTCCGATGACTCCTTTGAACATCGGTGAGCATTTTGCCACCGCGAAGGACAGTTTAACCATGTCGCCGACTCTTGTCGTTTAAAAAAACTTAAATTCAGGTCACTGCATAATCTTAAAACAGTAGTGACGCGTTGTAACAACAGTCAATAGCGTAGGCATACTCTCCAGACATTTTTCTAAATGCGAAGCCCAGCAAAGCCTTTTTTTTTCATTCATAAGTCATCTACGACTGCGTATTTTACGTTCAGTCCCAAATTTAAAAAATTATTCTCAAGTTCGGCAGTTGTCGCAGTGTGAGAACTTGGCAATATTATTGTCATAGCACCGCTGGTTAGCAGACGTTGGCTTGGAGGTTGGAATCCCGCCGGTGATACTTATGTGCGTGGGTAATGCTGGGATCTTTGCCATCTCAAATTTATCCGCGTAACCGTAACTTATTGTTGGTTAGGAGATTTCTCACCAACTATGCAACTGGAATGTTAGTTGGTAAACTTCCCAATTTTCCGCCTGGGCTGGTAGTCGTTCGAGAGACATCTTTTCGGCTTTCCATTTCCTTTGAATAAAATACTTGTATAAATTTATGTTATTCTGCATTTAATATTTAATGTAACATATCAGACAACTCATTATGATGTAACTCATTCATTATGATGTATGTTCATTGAGGAATGAATTATGGACATGGCAGCGAATGCGTTTAAGGGATTAAATAACAAATTACGGAATGAAATATGTGTTTAAAGACTGACAAAACATGGCTACATATGCTGAATATTTCTTCATGGGCGAATAAAAAAATTTATTCCGGCTTTGGGGTGGAAATAAAAGAATTCTTCGAAATTCAACTCGAATATTTATTGGATTAAGTTCTACAAATTCCATGCACTTTGGTTAATTTGACTGAATCGAGGCGAGAAAAAGCTTTTTATACAACAAATTACGGCACTTGAACCGGATGCTTAAATATTTCAAGAGGCAAACTAAGGCGAGGTTTCTTATGAGAATTGAACATCATCACCCAAGTCTTTACTTGATGAGTGAATCAGGCAAAATGTTGCTTACCAGTACATATTTCATGCGTGGGACCAAATCTCATGCTAATATTGAATACCCTCTAAATTTACCCACGTCCTGAAAACAGCGCAATTATCCAGATGTTCTTTTTGACGTACAGCCGTTACGTTACGACGTTTGAATTTACGTAAAATAACCATGTTCGATCTCGCATAAACAGAAATAAACATTGCTCTTTCAGAATCGGCTCAATTATTGCCCATGTATGATTCATAATACTCACATGACAATTTTTAATTTTGCGCCAATGGTATAAAACTCAATAAATATTAATTATGACTCCGTTTCAAAGTAAATAAAATAAATATCTCGGCAACAAGCAAAGACCTCTTCAACGAAACGCTTACATAGATCACAGCGCCCAAAAACGACAAAAGTAAATAGAAAGTCGTATATTCAAACACTATATATACGGCCAAATGACACTGGTGTATAATGTTCAATTGGTTTGTTCCTATTCCTTCTTAATGAAGGTGGAAATATACATATTACATATCTCCTCGAGATTTGACTTTACTTTACTGGGCGTGGGATTTCGTTTTCAACGTACGAGAAATTTTGAAAGTCATCATTTTTAGTGGGGTTCCAGATTGGTAAGTCTTGTAAGGTTTCGGAAAATTTACCCTGTTTTGTAAACCGTAAGTGCGTTTAATTAGCTAGTGAGAATCAGCTGAACGTTATTTTCGATAGCGAAATAGCCTGCAGTCCACAATTTATAGTTTCGTGTTTAACAGTAATTAGAATATAGCGATTCATATTTTAAAATGTTTTCTGTTACATTCAAGACGAGTTGTTTTATGTATGATTGTATATATGCGGAGGATTTTTTGCTTTTGATGCCTAACTGTGGGTTTTATTTATGTTTATTTCTCCATCTGTTAGGTATATTGTTGCTTCTTAACATTTTGTTACTACTTCAGTGTGTTTTAGGTTCGCCACCACACCTTGACCAGAATGTTGTAGCAATAAATTGACTTCTTTATTCGTTTCTCATTACCAGCCGCACCTTCAACGAGTCCCAGAAATTTCCCTGAATAAATAATGACAGGAACTTCTGACACTTGTTATAGCTACGCTGGTACTTTCAACTAATCATTTGGGGTATTCGTGCAGAAATGTTACAGTTTAAGTAGAATAAAATTGTTTAGCAAAAAACATCACACATTTATTAACTCATGCCAGGTGGAAGGTATTTGATGATCATGGCTAAAACGTGACTGATAGAACTTTTGAACCTTTCCGCCTTGCAGATAACGGAATTATTGAGGTTTTCAAAAACTCATTGAAACTGGTTTCTGTTGTTTTTTAAATGATTTACAAATACACATTCCAGGTCGAACAAATCAGAATAACTGAGAATAACGGATGTTTTTTGTTGTTTTGTAGCAAAACGCGCGACGTTGATATCTGACCAGTGACCACTTTCAGTTCACAGTAGGCTATACGATTTTGTCGGAATTAATTCCAAAAATTCAATGATATAACATTGGCAGAATTTTCAAAGAGACTTGTGACAGAAATGATAACAATGTGCTGACTGCAGATTTTAATCCCGCGGCATCCCCCAAAGGTCAATCGGTCGCGTCGCGCCAGTATTGGCGTAACCGTAGATGACAGCTTTGTGTCTGTTGCCGCGGCGAAAGCTCGGTATCGCAGATGAGAATTCTATGTCGTTTCTGATTACCGTGAACTGATTCGTTACCCATAAACTAGAAATCTGCTGTAGCCTACCTCTTGCCGGCGCGGGGAGTCAACTCCATCGCCAAGTTTGTGCATCTGGAACAAAAGACTGGCCCATTATTCTCATGTCATATCCGAATGACTAGGCGCTGAATAATTAAAAAAAAAAATTCAATTATCTTACCTCACCTTGAAAGTTCGCCTGCTCAACAGCTTTTACCCACGAGATGTCATCCTCACATAGGACATTGTCATTACATTCCAGAAAATGTTCGTCCTGGTAGAAACTGCAATCCCATAAAACTGGGCCCATAAACAGTTTTAATCGCGGGTACACGCTTTTCTAGCGAAAGCAATAATGTTGCTACCGTTGAAAACTAAGGGGGAATTCCTTATTCATTCTGGGAGTAAGGGGGGAAGGGGGGAAGAAATTCAACAAGATGCATTAGTGATATGGCGAACCACGACCTTTCGTACGGTTGTCAGTCCATGTCCGTTATGGAATACCTAAACAGAGTGAGAGAGAGAGAGGGAATTTTATTGTTTCGTCAAACCAGAAAGCACATGCAATATATTTAAATATATATGATAGCAAAATGCGAAAAACTAGGTTTCGGTAGATGACCGGGTGGTAACGAATACCGATACGACCATTAACAGTCATATAAAAATATATACAAATGATATTTGATTTAAATAAGAAATAAATTGAACATGTAATGAAAATAACACATGCCAATATAAAAGTAAATATTGCTATACACTCTCACCATATATATATATATATATATATAAATAGACACTATATACAAAAAATGATATATATCTGATTATAGATGAGATAAATTTCTAATCGGGATTAGGAAGGTATTTAAATAAGTCTTAAATAGGGAAGAGCAAAAATTAAGAATTCAATATACCAAATATATTAATATTTTGTATATTAATTTACACTTCCAATATGTTCTGAACCTTCTTTTGTGATATGTTGTGTGAATAAAACCACAGATTGACATATGAATTATAGACATAACAGTAATGCAATTTTATATTTTCAATTCATTGGTTTGAAGAATAAAAGAAGATTGCATATGGAACTTCTGCGAGATTCAAACATAACTACGCAGAACTAGTATTAGAATGAGAAACAATCAGATTGTCGTTGCAACCCATCACAAATAATTTAGAAATAGACAAATATGACCATGAGTTAAATAGATATGAGATATTAAATAAATTTTGACAAGGCTGGGTTAAATTTAATTACAATAGCCCAAAATATATTTTTTGTCATGCAGTAATATATTGTATACACAATGTTTAAACTTTAGAGTTTCTTAACAAATCGCAAATTTGTCTTTATCACTATTGCTTAATAAAAGAATATTGATCACATTGAACAGCTATTCGTTTAAGATACAATGACTTGATGATGCTGGAGGAAGCCGTACCCGACCAGCAGATACGTGAACTACTGTATGACGACTATGACTGGGCATTTCAAAATGAATATTCGAATCGAATAGTAAATTATTCGAATCGGTTCGGATGAAAATTTCGAATTGCATCCATCTTGTTTTTACTTGGACGCAGAAGGTCGACGTGAATTTCTCAATTTTTTTTATTGGAGCTATATTTTTATGATGCGATTCTGACATATGACTTTTTTTGTCTAGTGAGTTATTGATGAAACATGTTTCTTATCGTTTGTGAACGCTCAGCGAGCTGTCTGAGTGATGAATTCCATGTTTTCTGTAATTTATGTGCATGGGGGATCACAATAAAAAGTCACGTAAGAGTGAATATCTTCTAAAGTATTCGAGATTCGATTCGAAAAAAATATTCGATTCTGAAATCCAGGCCTAATGACGACGAAAAGTTTACCAATCCTCTCGCACATAACTATACCCCACGAGATTCGAACCTGGGCTAAGGTGCAAAAGCAAACATATTCCTGAAGCTTAGCAGGCACCAATCGTCGAGCCATTGGCCAGACATCCATGAAATGCTCAATTCCGGGCTTAATTAATATTCTCATATAGCACTGTATCATAAGATATATCATAAGAGTCCCATACACAATAAATAAAGTAAATCAGACGATAACGATTTTCGAAACATTTTTTATATTTTAATCAATGTACAAGGTAAAAGAAAATAACCATACAAAAACAACGCAATTTTCGCTGCCATTACTTGGCTGATATAAAAAAAAAATACGGAGAGAATAGCCGATTCACAGTAGTCAGTAAACCAAATTCAATCAGTTGTCCACCAATGATGGGGTCCAGAGACATATTACCATAAAGAATGTTCTGAGACTGAACAAATAATTGCAAAACAGCGGATGCTATTGAAGAGATGAACCAATATGGAGGGAAATCTTGACCAGATGATTACTCAGCAGTAATAATTAACCAGTTTAATAGAATGATTCAGCAGATTTAACTCAATCAAGAATAATGGGAAGATGAAATGAACAACCTACGGTACTATGTAAATAGATAGACTGTACCTATGAGCCAAACTTGGCTGACAATGACAGAATATATATCAAAAATATACAGTGGAATGTACAATAAATCATATAAAAAGCAGCAAAAAAATTCAAAGTGACATCAGCAGCTGAAGTAGCCTGCTCAATAATATATTTAAATATTATTTAATATCTTGAACACTGTTTTTCATATATTAATAAATAACACATTTGCCACTATTTTTCATAAAAATAAATTTATACATATGAGTAGGATATTTTTCTTCTCTTCCTTCAAACAAAATTAATTACCGGAACTTTTTTAATCTGGCAAGACAATTCCTTGAAAAAGCAATTTTCAAATTTTTGATGCACGCTACTATTAGAAAGCATAACAAATGGCAAAAATGGAATAGAAATCTCCATATAAATTACAGAAAAATATTTTACAATTAGAATCAAGCTTGGAACATGCTCCATCACGAACACAAAACAGCAGAAATACAAGAAAATAATGGGTAATGTATATTACAAAAATGTCATGGAGACACTGCAATAGGTCGTGGACTCGTGCCGTTAATGTGAGGTTTTACTGGCCCCCCTTCCCCCCCTTCCATCCGAGGTGATGACATTGGGGCAAGTAGTCCTGTAATTTCACCCTGGTTATTAATTTGGTTTCCACGGCGTCCTTGCAAAAAAGCTGGTTTACCAAATTTCGATGGACCTTCTACTGGCATTGCATGGTCATCTTTGTGTCCATTCATTCCGAGTGTTAACGACTGTATACCTTGTGCGGAAAATAACGCTGGTTCACCTTGTATATCACTGTCACTGCGACCATCTGTTTGTCGTAAAAATCTTGTGCTATGTCCCGAAAATCCAGTTCTTTGAGTGAACCTCTGATTGGTTTTACTGTTTAGAAAGCCTCGTTTTTGTCCCATTAAGGATCCGTTTTGTGATCCGTTCAAGTTCGGAGGAATCTCAGCAAATGTAGCCCTATCTTGTGGAATAAAATCAGTTTCCTTGAGAACACCATTAGCATTGTTATGCTTACCTCGAGCCTTGTGTGTCGCATTTGGGTGAGGGGTCATTTGTCTCTCGCTCCTACAAATAGAACAGAAATCAATGCTTAAAAATCACATATTTTTAAAAAAAAATTGTTGAAGAAACAATGGACATAAAAATTAAAACAAGTCGGCAGGTATCCTGGATGCATCTCTGCAAATAGTTGGGGCCTGCATCTGTTCAGGATTGCTAACAGGTGGTAATAGGTAATTGTGCACAATTAAAATAAGCAGCAACTTCTTCATTTTGAGCGCTGCATTGTCGCTAATTATCAAAACATGCGCACTGAAATTCCTAAGACTCATCCAATTTATGGATTATGAATTATTATGAAAGACGGCTCGTTCGAAAGAGTATTTTATCGTGTCTGGGGGAAATGCTCTCAGAATTTTAATTATAGAATTATATAGTGAAAATGAGAAACGAGAGACAATCAACACATTTTTTTTGTGCCGCCATGGAAACGAAACATAACTTTTGGTAAAACCTACAATACTAGGATAAAACACATGAAAAATTTCATCCAAATCGGCCCTGTCATTTATACGCTGCAGCTGGACACACAGACAGACAGAGTGACTGAAGAAAAGGGCCTCTTAGAGTAGGGATTCAATAAAATAAAAACGAGAATATCGGTTGGAAACCGAAGACTTATCGATCGATAGTTAGGGGATCCTCCAAAACAGAAACTGCAGTTTCGATTCATCCGCTCTTGTAACTTGCGCACTGCGCATCGCACACACACACTCGGCGGGTTTCAAAATTCTCTCGCTTTACAAAAATCTAGATCACTATATCAATAATTGATTGATAACTCGCTAATTATACGACATAATTCGCCCAAAATCAATAGGCTTCTGGTCCGAGATAAGATGAATGCACATGCAAAATCTGGAGCAGATTCAATCTCGCTTTCGTGAGATATCGCGTGCATCCAACAGACACACACACAGACAGACATACATACAGACAAATACCTATCAATATACTTACCGATCTTAAGATCGATAAGTAATGAACTCACTTCAAATTAGTGACATCGCTTATACTCTTGTGACCCAGTGTAGGAGGTGGTGGGACATTATTCTGTGGCATCCTTGCTGCAGGAGATGAATATTGTTGAACCCTTTTCGATTCTTGAACTGGGATCGCTGATGCTGGAAGACTCCTTGATTTTGCTAAAATCATTTCAAAACGTTTTCTGCCTCCTGGTAATCCTCCAATGCTGTAATGAGGGGGTGGGGCTGGAGGCTGAGAGTGGGGCTGAATGGGTGGCAAATCACCTGAAAAGAATCAAAAATTAGGATACATAATAAGAATGGAAACCAGACGTGTTAGATTTTAGATAGCAAAGAGAAGACCGAAAAATTTTGCTGACTAAGTTTTTCCAAACCATAACAAAAGAAGAACCTATTTTCTTTCATATATTTACTTGATTATTATTGCGCTCTTGTGAAAAATCAATCTATTCAATGACAATTGGAGAACTTGGATTCAAGACTGTAGATGAATTATGGCCTGCAATTGTCAATTAACGCTGTAAAATTCCCATATCAGAAAACAAATTTACTGAAATTTATCATTACAAATATAAAAATTCAGTTTGTGGAGTTAAAGTTCAAAAATTTATCACTTAGAATAGGATTTTTCATTTATTCTGAGAAAGATGAGAGTCAGTAAGACAACTGTCCGATTACCAGTCCATGTCAGGTATGAAAACAGTTAGCTAGACATTTGTCTCAGATGCATGAATTTCATAGGAAAAAATGCAATATTACCCATCATTCTGCTTTCTAATTTCATTCTTCTTCTGGCTTCTTTCGAAGCTTTCCAGCTTAATAAAAATTTCTTTTCCAAATTGTTGATACGTTTCCCATCTAACAATTCTGCAAAAAGGTAAATTATATTAAATAAAAACCTGAAGCATAAAGTAAATAAGAATCTCTTAAAATGGGTTTGCCAAAAAGACAGCATATTTCAGTTACAAGATACAGTTATAGATGAGTAATATCAAACACTCATTTAAAAAGCTTTAATGACTCAGTGATCAGCATGTTGGCATCGTAGGTGATAGATCGTAAACTGGTCAGTTCATCAGTCAGCCTTAGCCTATCTCCTCAACAAAACAGTGGCCTAATAATATGGCAAACTGCGGCCTCTCGTCCAGTTACCAGTCTGCGTCAGGTAGATAACCAGTTATTTGTTTCAGAAGCTGAGACGGCCAGCGACTACATGGACCATGTCTGGCCAATGAATTTAGGATTCTTGATGTAGCATTGGATGCATGAATGGGACCTCCTGAAGTATGCGCACCAAGATGGCGCACAACCTGAACTCAGGTTGTGTACCAGGTTAGGGTTCAGGTCATGCGACATCTTGGTGCGCATACTTCAGGAGTACCAATGAATGAATATGAATATATACAAATACATAAGCTCAGTGGTAAAGCAGCTGCTTGATGGGCTCGGACAATCTTTCTTGACAATTATCTTGTCTCATCTCACAAATTGGGGTAGTCTGTATTCAATGAGTGGGGAGATTCTAATCATAATCAACTTGCTAGCTTCATACATCTGAGTGGGCACAGTCAATAGCTTGTGAAATAAATGAAAACACACAAAATTTATTGATAAATGGGGAAATTCGTTATAATGTGTGTAATATAGGATAGGATTTTACATATTTATCCCGGAGGAGAGGAAAGCCAATAAGAATGCTTAACCATATGGCGAACCACGGCCTCTCGTCCGGTTACCATTCCATGTCGGGTATGGGATTAGTTAGTTAGTTGTTTTCGGTAACATGAACTCGATGGTGGAGGAAGCCGTAACCAACCACCGGTTACGTGAACCACCCAGCAATCCTCTCTCACGTAATAATCCCCGCATGGGATTCAAACCTGCGAACCCACGCAGAGTAATCAGAGACGCGGTGGCGAGCGTATTCCTAACGCTTAGCACAATGAGCCACACCGCCCCGCCGCATCTCCTGATCATCTTAATTATTGGATTTACACATCAACCCATCGAGACACACTCACATTACACTCAACATACCGTAAATAAATTCCACTCACCTAGAGATTGGCATTTGACGATAATATTATCTCTGTATTTTGCCTTGTGACAAATTGGGTTTCCACTCAATTCCAGTTTCTGTAAGTTTCTCCAGGAATCGAGAGCTTGAGTGAGATCCTCAAAATCATACAAATAATTTTCAGAAGCGATAAGATGAAGAAGTTCACTCAAAATTGAGAGTTCATTGAGTGTGTCCATATGGTTGCCAGAAACATTGAGAACATTCAGACATTTCTAAAATACAAAAATGAAAATTAGTATGATATATATTACTTATTTAAAAAATAAAAATTGCAGAGATAGTGGTTAGCATTTTACTCAAGTGCAAATGATATGTTGCTTCAACAGTATATTATCGTAAAATTATTCATCCAAAACGGAAAACGGTTATTTGGTATTACTATAGCATGAGGTCAGAGGCCCTATGTTAGGCCAGGGGTGGGCAAGGTTTTTAAACTAGGGGCCAAAAATCTTGTCCCCCTGGACTGGCGGGCCATGTAAGCGTGCATAAAAAGTACCTTTTATGAACAATATTGACAGTATTACAAAAGCAAAATTGGAAAGCAGTAAAGCTTGCACTAAAACTAAATTTAATCGCAAATTCCTTAAGCTATTTTTCCTAACACACCAAAATTTAGTTTTGGTTTGGCTGTGGAAGCATCAGGGGGGGGGGGGGGGGGGGCAGATTGAATTACCCAACAGATTTGACCATGTCAGTGTTAGACATAGGAATAAGTTATATCCATTAGTGATGGAAGATGCAATGACATCTAACGCTATATTGCTTTTAACGCGGTACATCTTGTGATAAATTAAAACTGTTCTTTCTTACCGATAGCCCAACTAACGTCCTGGGTTCAAACAGTAACTTTTCTCCAGCAGGAATCCTCTGATGTTCGACATGTAGTTCTCTGAGTTGAGATAAACCTTGCAATCCTTCAACTACTGATATACTATTGTATCCAATATATCTGATAAAAGTAAATATTGACATATAAATTTTACATGTAAATTTTTGAGACAGGCTTATATTTGCGGCTAATGATAGTGCAATGAAATAATTTCCCACATCTGATCACTGTCCATCAATATATTACGAGAAAACTCACCTTATGGCGTTGTTGCAAAATAAGGTATTCAAAATACTAGTATTTATTACTACACGTCACAAATGATAGGAATATCCTTTTCATAATTATTACAAATCACTATAATTAACATAATAGAAGCTAAACAAATACAAAAATGAAAAGACATCAGACATATTACTCAGACCATATACCCCATTTATATGTCCTTTTATTAGTTAATTCTAATTTACAAATCTGTTGTTGTAATCTAATAAAAAATATTTCCAAAAACTTACAGTTTTGTGAGTCGATATAAATGACCAATTCCTTCAATTTTAGAAACATTGTTATTTTGTAAATATAAATGTGTGAGAGTCTGTGCTGTTCCAAGATTCAATGTTCGATTCAATTTGTTATCGTACAAATATAACACAGTAAGATTGCGACATGCAGATAGGTTGTCCTGGAAAAAGAAAGATTCCTCATGGAGCAACTTTTTTTATCCAAATAAATATGGCGTCTGGCATAAACAATCTTCTAAAGTTTTTATGTTAACCATGCCTGAGTAGTGTTATTGCTGTATTATCCAAACATGTGGAAATGATATTTAAAGTTCACTTGATAGGTAAGTTAGATTACAAATCATGTCAGATCAATTTTATTCAAAAACTTGAGATTTGTGAACTTTCAAGAATCATATGTGCGTTGTATTCGCCAAAGAACAAGTAAACTTTAAAGTTGACGAAATAGTAGTAAAACATTGTTGTTATAGTGTATTTCTGAGACATCTTTTTCCAGCAGTAGTAAAACATCAGAGAATAATGATGGAGATAGATAATAATGTGATATTGCCATATCATATAATAATAAATTTGTCATTTTTCGACAGTTTCACCTTACCATTTTTGCAATACAACATATGGTAGAATCATATTCGCAATATCAGTATGCATTCGCATGTTTCCCAGCATACAAAATTTCAAGTTTCAATATTAATATCATTGTATTAGAAATAAAGAAAGATTTCCAAGATGAACAAATATAAACGAAAAGATAACATCGGTTTGTCGGTAGTGACATTATTAACAGCCTGGATTAGAATTTCAAGTTATAGGGATATGTCAACTTTTGTGTTCCCATCAGATATGATATTGGTATTTAGACACAAATACTGTTTATATTGAAGTTTCACAATTACAAAACAGCCCAACAGCCAAATCCATCACCCAAATAAACTTAAAATACCCGACACCCGAACTAAGAGATGCTTTGAAAGAAATCTATAAATGATAGAATGTATCAGTACTTACAATTCCTTCAATATTCCTTTCGGCCATATAAAGATGAGTGATGCGTTTAAGATATCGATTTGTAGATTCATCTCTCTGACGTTTTGTATGCCCGTTGCATTTCACAATGTAATCAGCCGTCAAACGTACCATTTTCTCGGCTAATATACTATTGCTATCATTGAAGAAATAGGATTGAACTCTGAAATAGGTTTTAAATTATGTTTCAAAGAAATAAAATCGTATTCTGCCATAAGCGGCGCAGCGCAACAGTACATTCAAAACGCCAAACCAGAAATCCAAACCTGGAGTGCAATTCGCGGTAACTTAGCAACGAAGCTATAACCAAAACCGCTCATGCGAAACCAATTTAGAATGGGATTCGTATTTATCCCGTGGGAAGAATGTCGATAAGGTGGCTTAATCATTTCAATGACATTAAACAACATGATAGGCAACTCTGACGTCACTCCATAAGACTACATGCGAAAGATTGTATTTCATGATACGCTCCAATGCACATATTTCTCGTCGCCTTTCGCGACGGTTTTCCGCTTGCTTTTGCTACTCGGCGTCTTCTTTACGTGTAGTACCTGCCTTTTTGCGCCTGTAACGAAAGAAAATAATTTCTATATCTGAGAAGTTTTGCTCATTTGGAAAGCTGGAATGGCAGACAAGCTGTAAAGAGTAATTCTGACTAACATAGACGTTTTTTTTATCAGAGAATATTACAAACGCGATAGCGTAAAGATTTGTGTGAAACATTTTGCAGATAATGACAAAGTTCAAAGTTAGTAATTTTAATGTTTGCGCTTAAACATTGAAATTTCATTCAAAGAGGGTGTCATACAAAACAGCAAAACTGTTTTTACTTCTCTTAAAGGTGCTGTGATACAATTCCATAACACAAAGTTTGCACCTATCGAACTTGTTTTAGTAGGTGAATTTATTAGACATATTACATATTCAGTTAATCGTAGGTAACATTACTGGTACATAATGCCTCGTAGATAGGTTTGTGTCTAAATTTAGGAATTTAGCTCATAGCCCGCTAATTAATATTATCTTCTATGCAGGAGATTGCAGGGCTGATTCAACTTGCAGCCTTACCAATCACCTGACGATGCTCATTTAGTTTGTCTCAAGCAAGTCTTCTTGAAAGACTTGTGTGAATGGAGACCACCTATATGTTTTGCCTTCCTCCGATTTTAGAAGACAAATTCAATCTGAGGAATTTTGCATATAATTCTCATTGATTGTTGGCTGTTTATAATTCCTATTAAATGTGAATTCTGATTATATCAAAGAGTTAAACATTTTTTACGTAATTTACGGGCACTTTTTTCTTGTCAATACTCCAAGCTGAGGTAATAAGCAAGACAATACATTCATGTCATCTGAAAGCAAAATATACACACTAATTAAAAGTTTGACACATTGGGATAATACATCCTGACAGAAAATACAAAGATACAGTATGTATGACCATCACATGGTAATTGAAATTTAAAAAAAAAATTAATAGAGGCTGTGGAGTATGAAAAGTTCAAGACAAAGAAAAGAACAAAAGTTCATAGCTCATGAACTCTCAATTCTGCCTCCATTGCTTTGTGAAGGCCAATATATTCCGAGTGACTGAATTGGTTTACCTTTATGATAGCAACGGTTTTGTATTTAATATAGCGAGATTTTTTTTTTAATTTAATTGAAGTGATATTATTTCCCAAAGGAATGCTTGAATCGTCTAGAATAGATCAGTGGTGTCAAACTCATGGGTTTCGAGAGCCGCATTGCATGTTGGAAATTGTAAAAAGGGCCGCAAACAGTTTTTGATAATGTATACTCGAGAGATATTTTTTAGATAGTTTTAGTTTGTGACATATATTGTGATGCAACTAATCAGTTGGATTAAGTTTTATTATTTTCTTTAATTTCAAATGCAATTACATATTAATATTTGCATTCCACTATTATTGCAAGTTACTGTATTTATTACAAAAAATCATAAAATTCCATGTACAACCATCAAAATCATTTTTGAACAAGCCTTGGTTAAGGAAAGAATAAAATATTACACTAAAAATGACTTAATCTAAATATATGAACCTAAAATACTACAGTATAAACTCAATGTTTTTTTAATTACATTTGTCCTGACGTTTGGCATCTTCTTTGTGTCACCAGCATACTAAGGCCAGGCTGAAATGATTTTATAGTACCAACTCTAACTAACGAGGTCACATGATCATGGGTTAATCTGTATCTTTGCAAAAGTTTAATTAATTCCAGTAATGCAAAAAAGTTACTTTTATCATTTCATGTATAGATCAGTAAAAATAAAAAAGACAGATTTTTTCGACAAGACATTTCACGCTACATTGCATGGCATAGGATTGCTTGAATTATTATTGATATTGATTTTTAGTAACTAAGTCGTTGTATATTTATATACAAACACATGGAAATTTTCTGTCCGGAGTTGGTCTTCGAATTTGTCATATTGACTGCTGAGCTTATTGTGTTTTTTCATTGTACTGATGGAAATATGACAAATTTAACAATGTGCTTCAGAATTTTGTGAAATGCAGAAATATTGCAACTCCCATTTTCTTCGAAAATGCCACCTTCTTCGTGTACTTTAATTTAATCACTCAAGTATTTTATTCAGTATTCTTTTGCTAGCTTGATGTGTATTCTTAATTGAGTCAAAATGTGAACAAAAAAAAATTAACTTTCTAAAACTACTTTCAGTAAATTGTTTTCTGTGTGAATATTCAATTTCACTTTAAAAGGTTTGAAAAATTTAAATAAAAAAAAATTCCAAAATACTATTACAATTATTGTTAAGCGTTCGAGGGCCGCACTGGAAGTTCTCTGGGGCCGCGAGTTTGACATCCCTGGTCTAGATTGGAGTTGTCTAAAATATATAACATTATTTTATCATGAATCATGATTATACCCTTTCCTGAATTTCTTCTATAGTACTACCAAAATTTGATGAACCAAATATAACACAGGTGTAGTCAGTGAACCGTAATCCTCATTTTTCAAAGCTGTTTTAAGTATGTCTGGCATGTTTTGTGCCTTTTTACAAAGAAGACCGCTTATGCAATCTTACGCTTTGGAATTTTTAGTTATTTCCCTCAAGCCCTGCAGGATGTAGGGGCCATACACAACTTTACCGGAGGGTCAAATGTCTTTGCATTCCTCCATAGGTTGTTCTTCTATTGCAAACATTTATGGAGTATTCTAATCATATTTCTTGGAATCAAACTGTCACTGATATGTCGCCAGACTTCTGATATCTCCCCTTCAGCTACAGTTGTCCTGTGAATAAATAATAGGAAATTGAGGTCAGACGAATAGTTGAAAGTTTTGTTTTATGTCGGCCTAATTTCTTGATTGATATACTCACTACTATTGCTATTGCCTCTTGTGCTGCAGGAGTCTCACAATGCTTAGACAGGTCTGTCCACAACTTTCACATCTGTAGGAGAGGAGATGTATTAATTTTCGTTAAGAATAAATAAAGCAGTCTATATGATTCAGAATGGAAAAGCTAATAAACCCAATATCTTATGTTTTTTGTAAAAAATGTTTTACTGAATTTAGTATATAAGCCAACTAATAAAGGGGTTTAGTCAGAAAATTATAAGCATTCGTGGCTCCAAATACTTGAGAGATCAGACTATACAATATAGACCGGTATGAGTGAAATTTTAGGTGAACTTGTTAACCCGTTGATTCAATACGCAAATAAAAGTGAATGAGCAATAGTTTGTTACAGCAATAAGTATATATCCTCACTGATTAAAAAAATCTAAATGGAGGTGCATGAACTATTTGAAACCATAAGGGGTAAGTAAATATGCAATTTCGGCAGATGGCCAACTACGTACCGTACTGAATTATAACTTCGTAGTATTTGACAAAAGCTGGCTTTCCCGCATGTACTTAACAGTGCGATGCCCGGGTGTGATATACAACAATAGTATTTACCTTACTTTTTTCCGATTTCTTTTTACCTTCAATTTTCTACATATCATTAAAAACCACAACAATTGTCGAAGCAGGCTCGAACACCATTCGTGCTATGCCTTGAAAGCAACACACATCCGCTCGTTTTCGTCTCGTCAAGTATGTGCATTGGAGCGTGCTATCGAATACGATCTTCGGCCAAAAATGCCGGAGTTGCGCATCATGTTGTTTAATGTCATTGATCATTTCTACAGCTCTCTCTCTACAACGCTAACTAACTTCTTTTGACAGTCTACTTTTTTGGACTACACAGCAGATAAACAACGTTGATATTAAACGATTTGATTGATTGATTGATTGATTGATTGAATTTTTTGTTCAAGCCTAGATTTATTTTGCGTGCCCCAAAAAAGGTTACCGTATGCTAATTATTGTCGAAGTCGCTTACAAATTTTGTTTTGTGCAACCACTCGTTCACTCGACTTAGTGTTATAATTTTGCATTTATTGTAATGGGCCTGTGGATCATTTTGTTAAACTGTTGGTATTATTCTTGTTGTTGTTGTAGCTATGAAAATTCGATTTGATAGTACCTCCTTTTGGTTTTCGTGTCGGTATATTTCTGAAAATTGCTCTCATGTTTTTTTTATGAGAAAATTCGCGCTCAAAGCAAGATTATGCAGAAACTCCAATCTCGTTTCTGGCAATCACTGTTTCAAGGAATTTTGAAAATTAAAAGATCACAGCGGGGGATTACGTTTATTGAATATCTATTGACGCGATTCTTTGAGGCAGTTCAGGTTAATACAATCAGGAAAACTTTTACAAGATAGTGAATTCCACGTGAGTGAATTTCCGAGAAAAAACTGCTAGCTTAAAAATTTTTTTGTTTGCCAAGAATACTAACAGTAAACCGACGAGAACTCAAAGCAAACCGGGTATATATATGACTGAAAACTTTTTTTGGTGGGACAAGTTCCGAAAGTTCAAAAGAACACAATTGCAAAATAAAATCTGTTAAAAAGAACAGCGACTGAATATGAATACGGATTGCGTTAATCAATAATAATGTAAATTTCAGTTAATACAAAAGAGCTATGCTCAAATATATAGACACGTAGCGTCACCCAGTGGCAATAATTTTGATGACGTCATAGCGGGGAAAAAAAGTAATAGCCTTCTGGAGAAAAATTTTATCTTTAACCACTGAAAATATCAAAGCAATTGGTCCAGTATTCGAAGAGAAAAGCGATTTTTTAAAAATGGAGACGGAGACAAATAACAATAACAACAAGAGAGCTATGCTCAAATATATGGACACGTAGACCCACCCAATGTCAATAATTTTGATGACGTCATAGCGAAAAAAAAAGTAATAGCCTTCTGGAGAAAAATTTTATCTTCAACCACTGAAAATTTCAAAGCAATTGGTTCAGTATTCGAAGAGAAAAGCGACTTTTTAAAAACGTGTCAAAGAACAAGAACAACAACAACATAATATTGAAACGATTGTTATGTCCACTTCGTGTCCAATAACAACAAAATTTTGAAACGATCGTTATGGCCACTAAACGTGTCCAAAAAGAAGATCCTGTTATTATCTTTTGTTTTTACACGAGGCATATAGAGGAAACGCATCATGATAATCGTGCCTGTCGATTGGATCCTTTGCAATGGACTACAAATTCCGCTTTGTATAGCTTCGAACTAAGAGAAAATCAAGTTTTTATAACAAACATTTGGCAGGTCTTTTTTAATAGACTGCTAAAACGTTATGACACCTAATGATTTTTAGTTTCTGTAGAAAATGTCGACATCTTACAGATATTTGACTCCCGAATACGGGTAATATGAAGTGACGACGCCAGCTTAGGTGAAAGCAAGCCAAAGTCTTTCTCCGACACTATGAGAAATAAATTCATCTGCTGTTGAGTATAAGGAATTACAAATCCATAAATAATTCTATATACCACAATTGGATTCTATTAATGTAGTAAAATCTAAATTCAATGTCAGTATTTAATGAGTCAATAAGGCATTTTGCAGTGGCGGTGCGTCAATAGGGCCAACCCGGTTGTTTTTTCGGTATAATAAAAAATATTCGAAAAATACCTCAATATCGGTTGCACAGACTGTCTACACTAGCCATATTCTCCCGACATGGTTCATATTTCGCTCGCAAAGCCTTCGCCGAACGTCGACGGGGCGACGCCGATTTTGCCCCGGTTGCTCATTGTATAACGTATTCTCTCTTTTATCTTCCACTCGCCGCGTTTGTCTCGTTTGTTTTCTGTTTCTTTTACTAAATCATCGGGGCCGATCGGGGCTAGCCCCGAAATTATGACGACATAATGCCGACGTTTCTTACAACAAAGTGTTGACATATTCACGCATTCCTTCTCGTTCGTTGGTTGCTTGAAGAGTTGATAGTTTCCTCGCCTTTGTTTTTGTCGCTTGTTTCGCTATTTGAATCAGTTAGAGACCTTTAGTCCATTTGCTTTCGATTTTCCACATTTCTTTTGAGCTCCTCACTTCTTTCCGGCTTCGCATTTCTTAGCCTTAGACCTCATAATGAATAAGGTTAATGCACTACTTCGCACTCCGTTTTCGCAGCTGCCGCTGGAACAAAAGGTACAACGTCTTGGGCCTTATCAACCAAAAAATTGTTCACTGGAACAATCCCATGACGGAGGAAAGCGTCGGCGTACATTCTGCGCAGAAACTTGGTATAAAAAACACGAATGGTTGTGTTACAGCGAGGACAAAAATGCACTTTTTTGTTTTTATTGCCTACTTTTTGCTACCGCCCGTGACTCACGTTGGTGTAAATTTGGTTTTAGAGATCTTAAACATCTTTCCGAGCGTGCCAGGAATCATCAATCTTCTATGGAGCATCTGGACAATGCAGTAAAATACCGAACATTCGGAAATGTTAATATTGCAGCACAGTTGGATGAAGGACGCGCGGTTTCTATCCGTCGGCACAACCAGAACGTCGAGAAAAACCGCCATGTTCTCGGTCGATTGATAGATGTTTTGAAGTTCATTGGATGTCACGAGCTGTCCCTCCGTGGGCACGATGAACGGGCTGGCTCTTCTAATAGAGGGGTATTTTTGGATATGGTGGAATACACCGCATCCCTAGATACAGTATTGAGAGATCATCTTGATGCCGCAACTGTTTAGAAAGGGACATCTAAGGATGTCCAAAATGATTTGCTCGACTCAATGTATAAAATTTATTTACAACATTTTGCTCTGGAAATTGAGAATTGCCAGTTCCTTTCGATTCAGTCTGACGAGACAACTGACATCACGTGCGTTTCCCAACTGGCTGTGATTTTTCGGTTTGTGAAAGATTGTAAATCTACCGAGAGATTTCACTGCTTTGTACCAAACGTTGATCGCACGGCTTGCGGGATATCGGCTGTACTGAAAGAAGTGTTACAGCCTTACAACGCGAAGTCAAAATTGATAGCTCAAACTTATGACGACGCGGCAGTCATGAGTGGGTCGAAACATGGTGTTCAAGTTTATATAAAAGAAGATTTTCCTCATGCGCATTTTTTACATTGTTATGCAAATGTTTCGGGGTTTTCTTCATTTTTTTCCGTTTCGCCGAAGCGCTCTGACCTCCTTCGCCAGATATGTAGCCGCCGTCTCCCAGCTTGTGCACCAACACGTTGGAACTTCCAATCACGCGTGGTGCAGAGCGTGTCCGAAATTAGGTCTGAGCTCATTGAGTGTTTTAATGGCATTCAGAGCTCTCCGGTTTGAGACGAATGCTCTGTGAGGGAGGCGGCAGGTCTGAAGCGTCTGCTAGAAGATGGTGAGTTTTCATTTTTTCTCGCTTTTTTCTCCACAATATTCTATCACGTGGATGTATTATACGGCGCATTGCAGTCAAGGCTAATGGATGGAGCGTCTGTGCAGTCGTGTATTTCAGACTTCTGCGATGCTGTATCTCGTATCCGGGAAACAATAAAATACGACGACACATGGAGTGCTTCTTTACGCCGCGGGCAAACAACGCAGCGTTTGATTTTGTCTGCAAAGGAATGCTGTGACATTCTGGTGAATCAAATAGGCGATCGTCTGCGCACTGAACACCTTGCCGCGTTCTCTTTGATGAACCCCAAAAATTTTTCAAAATTTGCACGTCAATTTCCCATCCATTTGTTGGCTACTGTCTCCAAATTTTACCCCATGATAAACGTGGGTAAATTGGAAAATGAATTGCGATGTATATACACCAATCAAACTTTTTTGAACATCACATCAACTTGCCCGCTCTATGGGTTCCTCATAGATAACACTCTAGTAACTACCTTTGCGGCGTCTGCAAAATTTCTGGACATCATTTTGACGACGCCTATTTCTTCCGCCGACGCAGAGCGAACATTCAGCACGCTGAAGCGTATTAAAACGTATCTCAGAAACACAATGAAGCAAGATAGAATAAATTCCTTGGCTGTTTTATCCATTCACAGAGACGTTATATCTGGGATGCATGACGTTAATCAGCGCGTTATTGAGCATTTTGCTTCCAAGAAACCGCGGCGTGTTGCATATATGTTCAAGCAGTAGAAGTCTAGCAGCATATATATCTATGAGTGAGCGACGCATGTCCTTATCTTTGCATCATCTTTCCTTTTTTCATAGTAACGTTTTAAACCTTATTTTAGGTTTTGTCTGCTTTCCCGAAGTTTCTGTTAATATGTCATTGTATTTATCTGGGTAAATATTGCCTTTCCTTTTGAAAGAGGTTTCAAAATAAACTATGTCTATATTTATTGATCCCTTGACTTGGACCGGTTTTAAAGACACTTGCTTTTGCCGATTGGTTGTTACCGATGGAATGGTTTTTATACTCATAAAATGATGGGAGAACTTACAGCGCTCATCCTGTCCCCGTAGATGGGGGTGACTTGGTCCCGCAGTAGCTTGCCCCGGTTGTCAAAATGACCACGCGCCGCCACTGGCATTTTGTCATTTAAAAAATTTTCAATTTCTAATTTTTTCCAAACAAGCTCAATCTATATTATCATCAATAAATTCATTTTTTTATAAAAGCCTTTTAGTTTGTGCAATTTAAGTTATGAACTAAACGATGCAATGCATTTCAATATTATCAACAAAGGCTCTGGAACAAAATTTTGCTAGCTATAATTATATAACATTTGTAATTACTTGGTGTGTAATTGGCAGCGTTGGCATAAATTGGCTCATACTTTAACCGGCTAAGTCGATAGTACGTGCCAACATGCCTTCGGGATATATTATGACTAAGTAATAACTTTTTCACAAACGATACATCATGTGATGTTCGCTCACGTATGGTAGCGCTTGTGCGACATACGTGACCGGAATTGATAGAAAATGTAACGGTCCATTTACTCGCTATTATTTAAACAAGACAAATAGTTTCATCGCGCATTATACGTGTAGTCTTATCATTGTGTAGGCAGGCAGCTAGTGGTTCTTCAGTCTGTGAAAATTATTGAAAATCGATGAAAATGCTCAAATTAGTTTTATTTTGTTGCACTGTGGTTTTGCAATGGCAATATTATCATTGTTTCGAACCAATTGTTATGAACAGCCGATACGCAAATGAAGGTAAGTCAAATGATTTATCTTCTGTTCGTCTTTGAGCTAAACCTGTAAAGTATTTTCATATATACAGACGAAATTTATTTTCTAAGTATCATTAGAATATTTCCATGTTGATATATTTGTGTATATATATTTGAGTTACCTCCATACTACCATAATTATGATCTGTTGTTGCATCAGTAAAAAGAGGTTATAGTTGGGTGTGGGTGGTTTAACTGATTATAACGATAAAAAATGATAGCCGGTATAGTTATCGTGTATATATGCTAACATATATTAATGAATCACATTTCCGCGTGAGGTAAAATCTTTCAGTCTGTTTAGTACAGTAATGACTACCTGTCATATAATTTTACATGATCAATATTATACTAATCTATATGGGGAATAAAAAGATAAGTTCGTCGTTGTCTGAGTTTGTAAATGTTGGGCTTTAAAACCTATTTGAAGAATAAATTTAAATACTTTTACTAAATATTTTAACAACTATTATATACGTTTCGAACACGAAGCAAGCATCGATAAGCATGAGTCAAATTGAAACATATTAAAAATGCATGATTTAAATGCATATGATTCTTTAAAAACATGACACGAATACGCCCAACCAAAATGGTACTTTTCGAGAAAATAAACTTGCAAAGAACGACGATTGTGTAGCACGTGATTCACTTGTCGGAAATCATAACCCGTCATCATATGACAACAATGAAATACCAATCGTTGGGTTGCACAAACGCGCAATAAAAGTTATTGATAAATTGCCGATTGGCGTTTTACCACAGTAGTTGCCTACTTGTTATGTTGTTGAGCTGTTTACAAACGCTGCCATGCGTTTTTTTTTTCGTGCACGTGCACTAATATGTGCCGATTTGTAAAATATGCCAAATATACTAAACTGATACGTTAATTCGTTATTTTTATAAAAGTAGCATAATTATAAATTTCCAAATAACTGTAATCCATTTCCATTCAGAAGTTGCGCTGTTCAAACAATGGATGGTTAAGCACCAACGATCCTATAATTCAGAAGATGAGCACGATTACAGATTGCTGAAATTTGTTAACAATTTGCAAATAATAAATAGACACAATTCGGAGCAACATGGATGGGAAAGTAAGTCACCTCTTTAGCTGAGAAAAGTGAAAAAAATTCAAAATTCGCTCAACGTGATTCGGTTCAGACACCATTTCTTTCCTTATCTTCCTGTGTTACATAAATAATTTTGAACGAAAAAAGGAGAAAAATACTATTTCTTCTTAATTTGCAGTGGGACTTAATCAGTTCTCAGATATGGATTTTGAAGAATTTCGCTTCAATATTCTGGGAGATCCACAAAATTGCAGTGCGACAAAAACTCGTTCATTTTTTGCTTCGAATACACCCACAAAAAAGGATTGGCGAGAAGAGGGAAACTATGTTACCGCTGTTAAAAATCAGGTTCGAATTCATAATGAAAAATAGTTCGTCGCAAATATTTGTAGAATATATATTCCGCGTTCGACATGCTGGGAAAATTACAAGAGACCATGGTCTAAAAATTTATTTTTCTCATTCAGGGACATTGCGGGAGCTGTTGGACGTTTTCCACGACCGGTTGTCTTGAGTCAGCAACCGCCATACACAAAGACGGACATCCACTGTATACCCTTTCAGAACAACAGCTTGTAGACTGTGCAACTGCCTTTGACGATTTCGGATGCAACGGGTATCGTACTTCTTAACTTGAGTACCTCGTTTTTGTTGAATTGCACACTAGATAGCGGACTTTAACCCACAATAAATCAATAAATAAAGACTAAAGGTCGGTTACTAATTCCATCAAATTATAATGCTCTGAAATTACTTTGAAGGTGTACCAAACTTGCTAGTTGGTGTTTCATGTCTAGTTCGTTTGAACTGAAGATTTTATTTACTGAAATCCATTCAGTTATTTCAATATAGAGATGAATATATCTTCTTCCTCTTATGACAATCTCATTCCATATCAAGTTATTGTTGTTTATTGAACAACCTTTGCACTCGAGCAAAAATTACGAAATTTCTTTTTCAGGGGCTTACCTAGTCACGCATTTGAGTATATCAAGTATAATAAAGGACTTGAATCAGAGGATGACTATCCTTATGATGCAAAGGTAAATCTTTTTATAGTCGGTTTCGCTTGTGTATTATGTACATAAAGATGAAAATATAGGAATCTGTATGGGACATAATTGAGATCGAGCCAAACTAAAAAAAAAAAATTGAATGTTTTCAATAGCTCAAATGATTCTATCTAATGATTCGCGTTCTACAAAACACAATGATAAAGTATTGTGTCCTACAAATAATTCATCTATATATATTTCCTCTGTATATTTCAGATGGGACCTTGTGAATTCGATCCTACTCTCGCTAAGGCGAATGTGTATGATGTTGTTAATATCACAAAGGACGATGAAGAGTCAATTGTAAATGCAGTCGGTACCATGAACCCAGTTAGCGTTGCGTTCCAAGTTACCCCAGATTTTCAGCACTATAAGTCAGGAATATATTCTAAGTAAGTGTCCAAGAGTATACGTAGATTATTATTCAGTAGCCTACAGTATCATACAGAGAAGTACAAACACTTTATTCATACCTCATACCTTTTCAGCCCGAAGTGCGGATCATTGCCATCGCAAGTCAACCACGCCGTTCTGGCTGTTGGGTATGACGCGGATGTATCCGGGAAACCTTACTGGATTATCAAGAACTCTTGGGGTACTACATTTGGCATCGAAGGGTATGTATATATATATAGAGAGAGAGAAGCAAATATATGTCTGTTCTATAGTATGGGATGTATAACTGAGAAGGATATGTGAACCTACATTTTGCATAAATAATAGTTGCATGATCCGTCGCAGTGGAGGAGTGGTATTGGCTCAATAATGACAAAGGTTTAACCGTTCAAGTACAACCTTTAATAAATATACTAATTTGATTTTTAGGTATTTCTACATGGAAAGAGGTTCCAACATGTGTGGAGTCGCTACTTGCGCTTCGTACCCAATTGTCGTGCCATAATCCATACACGTTGTGCAAGTCCGTTTTACATTTTCGTGCCGTTATAAGATAACTGCAACGGTACGACTCAACCGGAATACCGGTAGGTGCTCGCCACTAATACAGTCTAGTAATACTGTAATAATTAGTTCAGAAGATCCAATGTGCTGCAAAGACACACAAGTAGGTTCGAAGTTCACGATGCAAACGAAGAGACTTTATTAAAATAGTGTAAAATCCACGCTTAAAGCAGATAAAATAGAGTGACAAAAATACGGTCCTTACCCAGCGACAGCAGAAGCAAGAAGACCGAACACTGCGTACGCAGCACAGTTCACATATGCAGTGGTGGTTGGAGTCGAGTTACTGGATCAAACTATCGGGCGAATTAAGGCTCAGACTCCAAACACCAATGCATATACATTAACTAGACAAGAAAAACAAATAGAATAATTCAGTCCCGCCACAATACTCCCCTTTTCATTAGAGAAAATTAACAAAAAATTTACTCTTAAAAAAAAATAAAAACATCCCCTAAGAAAGGTATTAACACAGTAAGAATACAAAACTCGTAAAAAACACAATGTGTATGTCCATCGGCAGGTATTAGCAAAATATGAAACACAGTGGAACGAAATATCAAACAGTAGAAAGCATTCCTGAAAGTATAACAAATATAAAGCATACTATTTACAAAATACACAATAAAAATACAAAAAATTCCCAACTACAAAATCCAATAAACCCTATCTAAAAACACTAACTAGTCCTACCTAACCATATACATTATAGCACAATTCCCAATGTAATTCAAAAAAAATGTTACAGCGCATAAATCAAGTATGAAAATCATCCAAGTAGGCAGGTCTACGCCTTGTCCTACCAGAACGAGTAACAGTCTGATGATCAGAATCCCTAACAGGCAAATCAGGATTAACTTCTGGTTCAATAACAACATCCTGTACATCATCATTGGAAATAGCAATATTGTCTGGGAAATCGGCATTAATATTAGGTAAATTGTCACAATCTTCCATCAAATATAAACGAAGATGATCAACATGAGCTATTCTACAATTACCAGTGTTAATATTCTTGATACGATAAACAAAATGTGAAAAACAATCTAACACTTCAAAAGGACCTATCCAACCAGTCGAAAGTTTTCTACTCTTAGGAGGATAAAAATACCACACAAGATCACCAACATTAAAGGATAAAGGCTTAACAGTTGCATTAAAATTACGTTTCTGTCGAACAGCAGATTTACCCAACTGTTCTCGAGCAAATTCAAAAGCTTCAGATGTAGCATTATCAAACCATTCAACAAATTCATCATAACACTTAGGGACATTATGATCAGGAGGTTTACCAAAAAGTAAATCAGTCGGCAATGAAATTTCACGTCCCAACATTAAACGATTCGGAGTAAAACCTGTACTTTCATGTACAGTAGATCTATAAGCCATTAAAAGATAAGGAATGTGTTCATCCCAGTCTGTGCGGCTAGAATCTACAAATGCTTTAAGCATTTGCTGCAAGGTCTTATTCATTCTTTCACATAGACCATCCGACCTAGGATGATAAGGAGTCGTACGGGTTTTATCAATTTCAAATAAGGAACACATATGCTTAAACAAATGAGATTCAAAATTAACCCCTTGGTCACAATGAATAATTCTAGGAGTACCAAATCTACTAAAAAATTCCGTTACAAGTACATCGGCTGTAGTACTGGCCTTTTGATTAGGCAAAGGATAAGCCTCAACCCATTTAGTAAAATAGTCTGTGACTACTAACAGATGTTCATTGCCCCGTTCAGTTTTAGGTAAAGGACCCACAAAATCAAGACTAATTCTGAGAAGTGGCTCAGTACAAATCATTTTACACATTTCTGCACGTCGTTTCCCATGAGGTTTGGTAGCAGTGCAAGCTTTACAATAACGACACCAAGAAGATACTTGGCTGTGCATTCTAGGCCAATAAAATCGTTCCCTCAATTTTTTATAAGTTCGTTCTTTACCCAAATGTCCACCAGTACGCAACTCATGGAGTTGTCGGTACATTTCGCGACGCAAAACTAAAGGCAACACAATTTGAAAAATGGATTTTCCCTACAGGCGCGGATGGCAAAAACTCTCGATGAAGCACTCCATCGATGACTCTCAATAATTTCCACTGGCTGCACAGGATCCGAACTTCTCTGGAGAAAAACAAGAGTTCTGCAGCTGGGGGTGGTTGATCCAACGTTTCCTTCATTGTCAGTACTTTAGAGATGTTGTCGTCCTTCATCTGCATCTCACGCACATCGGTCGATGAATACGAAGCGAGCCATTCCATAGAATTACCATGACTCGGTTGCAAAGCAGCAACTTTGACAATTTCCAATTCACACGGCTGATCACCATTCCCACAACTAGTGCAGGAATCACGCTTACATCGGCGACGAATACGACTCAAACCATCAGCATTGCCATGCTTGGAACCAGCACGATGTTCAACTGTAAAATCGTAAGTGTCCATAACTGATATCCAACGAGCTACAATGCCTTCAGGATCTTTAAAATTCAGAAGCCAACGTAGTGAAGCATGGTCAGTTCTCAGTTTGAAATGTCGACCCCACAGGAAGTGACGAAAATGTTTGACCCCCCACTGCAACGCAAAAAGTTCTCGATACGTTGCACAATATCTCTTCTGTGCCTTGTTAAGGGTAACGCTGGCATATGCAATGACTTTTTCCTTGCCATTCTGAATTTGACTTAAAACTGCGCCAGCTCCAAAACCAGAACAATCAGTATCTAAAATGAATTCGTCTCCATCTTCCTGTGGAAAGGATAAAACAGGAGCACGAACTAAAAGTTCTTTCAAGCGAAGAAAAGCGACATCACACTGCTTTGTCCAAGCAAATTCTACTTTCTTCTTTGTCAGATGAACAAGAGGATGTGCAATGGTAGAGAAATCTTCAACAAATTGTCTGTAATAATTACAAAATCCAAGAAATGACTGCAATTCTTTGACATTAGCAGGCTTGGGCCAATCACGAACAGCAGCAATTTTTCTATCGCTACAGCAAACACCATATTCAGATATTACATGTCCCAAATATTCCACTTTACGACGAAAAAGTTTACACTTCTCTGGCTTGAATTTAAGTCCAGCAGCACGAATTCTTACAAAAACTTCACGTAAGCTGCTCATGGCCAGATCAAAGTTTTCGCCATAAGCCAAAATATCATCTAAAAATGCGAGACATATTTTCCATAAAATTCCAGCCAAAACTTTGTCTATTAAACGCTGGAAGCAAGATGGCGCATTGGCCAGACCGAAGGCAAGAACACGGAATTGAAAATGATTATTTCCTGGCAAGCTGAATGCTGTTTTTTCCCGATCTTCTGGGTCGAGTTCTACTTGCCAGTACCCACTCGCCAAGTCCAACGATGAAACCACTTTGCTTTACCCAATGCATCCAAAATATCATCAATTCTTGGCAAACTGTAGGCATCTTTGATGGTTACCAGATTAATTTTCCGGAAATCGATACAAAAACGACAACTTCCGTCTTTCTTAGGAACGAGAACAATAGGCGAATTATAGGGACTTTCACTCGGTTCTATTACACCTTGAGCAAGCATGCTCTGTACTTGTTTCTCTGCGATTTCTCTTTTCGCCCATCCCATACGTCGCGGTGGAACTTTGATTGGTTCAGATGTTGACGTTTTAATCTTATGTTTGACTACAGAAGTTCGTCCCAGTTTGGCATCAGGACCAGCAAAAATATACTGAAATTCGATGAGCAAATCATGAACACTTTGACGTTGTTCAACCGTTAAATCTTCTGGATCGTCGACGAGCTTCTTCAAATGTTCCGGTAGTTCCCTGGTGTCCATGACATCCCCAGGCACCACTTGTTCCAGAGAAGAGACAGTCAGGTTTTCTCTTGGGCATAGTAAACCGATTAGCAAATCCGCAGGTATTTCTACCGCTTCCTTGCTAACATTGACCACCATGAGAGGCACTAAAGAGCATGAGGCGTCCACCACTCCGGGAAATAAAAATAAACCACGATGGCCATACTCGCTCTCAAACACGCACGCAGCCTCTGCCACAGCTATGACGTCACTATTGGGTTTCCATGGGCAATTCAAACGACCATAAATCACCATCTCACTCTCTCTGGGAACAGTCACACATTTATCTACAACAATTCTACAACTAGGAACAGACGAAACAGGCTTAGTTAGGGAAAACAGTTTTACCATCAACCTCCATTTGACCTACAGACATATGCAAAACACAGTCATGCTTTTTGGAAATAATCCATACCAAGTAAACCATAGGGGGCACCAAGATCAGCAACAATCACTCTTTGAACAGCACACACAGAATCAATACAAATTTTCAATCAATCATACCACGAGCTTTCAGAGAAGTACCATTAGCAGTTTTGAAAACAAACATCACAAGGAGACAAATCACACTCCTTTCCACCAATAGAACAAAAAAACTGCATAATCTATAAGCGTAGCAGCACTACCAGAATCAATAAGAAAACGTACAGTAATGCCATTCACATCAACCATAGCATACCAGCTAGTGGGTAATCTCAAAGAACAAATCAAATTATCAAAATCATGGTCCATGCATACATTCGTCATCTTTCCAGTAGCAACTGAGGACCCCCGTGCTACTGATTTCTGTTTAAAGGCATATCATTATTCTTGGGAGCAGGGTGAAACTGGGGAATATTCCCACCGTCACGAGGAGTTTGGCCATTCCCACCCCAGGCAGAATTTGAGCTATTCCCTGATGAAAAATTTCCTACAGGGCCACTGGCCGCTTGCTGGGCCGAATAAGCAGAAGGCTGCGAATTCTGTGGAACATAATATCTATCACACTGAGAAGCTATATGACCCCTGCCATGACATCTCTGGCACTGGTTCTCAGGACAATTCCTACGTATGTGACCCTTGGCACCACAGCCATAACAAGTAATACCTTCATTCCTACGCCCACCCTTCTGACGAGAAAATCGGGGTCGATGACCTTCATCAAACCTAGCACAAAAGTGGTCAAGCATCTCTTTAATATCATTCCGCAGCTTACTAAATTCAGATACACACACACCATCATCACGCTCAGAATTATTCACAACAGCTACCATGGGCTTACTAGCACGATTACAACCAGGTGCACTGTGCGTAGCATCAATAGAATGACAAACATCAGCCACAGTAATTAATTCATCCAAACTCTGAGTCTGCCTGATAGTCAAAGTCTTACACATCTCGAAATCAGGAAAACCTGAAATGAAACGCTGCTTAATCAGATTCTCACGAGCAATAACATCCAAAGAAGGATAAGCCTTCCTCGACAATGCACGAAGAGAAGTAGCATATTCCGTTGGCGTCTCAGTGGCCAACTTCTTCCTGTTTTAAACAAAGTAGCAAAGTATGACTCCTTACCCTCTGGATAATAACGCTTTTTCAAGTGATTCACTGCAACACTCAAACTGTGTCTATCTGGAAGGGATAATTCATTCAACAAGGACAAAGCCTTCCCACGCATACATGCAGCAAAATGAACACCAGCAATTTTATCAGTCCATCCATTACAGGTAGTAATGGATGAAAAATGACACAAATAATCATCCAAAGACATACCATCACCATTAAAAGTATCAGGCTGGATATCCACTCTCATACTATTATTCATACCAAAAGGAACTGCCTTGCAATCAGTAACGTTACCATTCACACTTGCATGCATAGGTGTAGACTGGTCAACCACACACTCATCAGCAAAATTCAATTTTTTAATAGTACCGGTACCATTTATCAAACATTCATTATCAGGGCAGTCAGGTTCACCATTCCTATCAACACTCTTGGGCACCTCAGGGGTTTTCAGAATAGGTTTAGGAATAAATGATGGCACCTCACCCTCAGCCATGGCCTCGTCAATGCTCTCCAGACGGCACAACACCCGTTCGAGTACTTCCTTCATGCCAACATCTCTTTCTTCAAGTTTTGCAACACTAGCATAGACTATTTGCAGTTGTCTAGCCAGTTCTTTATTTTCAGCTCCTAGTACTTTATTCTTATCTTCAATTTCTTTATTCACCATTTGTATTTCTCTATTCATGTTTTTAATTTCCTTGTTTTCGCCTAGTATGTCTTTATTCATGTTTTTAATTTCTTTGTTTTCGGTTTCCATCTGGGAAATTTTATTCCATATTACATCTCGTTCCTGGTCGCAATTCTTTCTTCGGTGTGACATCATGAACTTTTAATCAAAAAATCGTCTGATTTTTCAATCCTGGCGTGCTCGCCAATTTGCAACGGTACGACTCAACCGGAATACCGGTAGGTGCTCGCCACTAATACAGTCTAGTAATACTGTAATAATTAGTTCAGAAGATCCAATGTGCTGCAAAGACACACAAGTAGGTTCGAAGTTCACGATGCAAACGAAGAGACTTTATTAAAATAGTGTAAAATCCACGCTTAAAGCAGATAAAATAGAGTGACAAAAATACGGTCCTTACCCAGCGACAGCAGAAGCAAGAAGACCGAACACTGCGTACGCAGCACAGTTCACATATGCAGTGGTGGTTGGAGTCGAGTTACTGGATCAAACTATCGGGCGAATTAAGGCTCAGACTCCAAACACCAATGCATATACATTAACTAGACAAGAAAAACAAATAGAATAATTCAGTCCCGCCACATAACGATAAGTAAAATGGATCTTTTTGTTCATCTATCATCATGCAATTTATCAAGCATAAATTAAATAATGAAGTTTACGTGTGCAATATCATAAAACAAATAAATTGTCCATTTGAAACGAATCATTGAGGGGCTTATGTCTTTTCGTGCAACCGTTTAATTCATACAGTGCATTTCATCTTTTATGAATTTGGTCACTGATTTAAATAATAAAAAAACATGCTCGTAACCAGGATGTTATGTTTTTTTTTATTTTAAATACTTATGATGGATATTTGGTATTTTTTGTTTTCTGAAAATGTTCTTTTTTCCTTCAAAATATTTATTTTGAACTGTTTTGGTGTTTCATTAACTTTTTAAGCTATTAACCTGAATCAACAAGCGTTTTAGGTGTCGCTGCCTGAAGACCTCTTGAGGTCCCTCGCGACTCCTGTCACACAATTTAAGTTAGTTTCCACTTGTATTTGTAATATTTTTTCATATATCATACCATGTTTGAATTGTGTTGACGAATAAATGATGATTGATTGATTGATTGATTAGGCAGCGTTACGTATTTTATCTGGTGTGTCAGGTAAGAAATAAATATTACGCATACGATACGAGGTAGGCTACATCGTTGATTGGCAGAGACATTGAATGATGAAATTGGGTAGCTTCAATTGCAGTAAGGAAAAATTTGACTTCTGAAGAATTTACAAATACTTGTATTTAATTGAATTGGCATTTTGGAGGACACGTGACCATCCGCATTTAGTCTCACAGTGACAATCGCATGCAGTGATAGCTAGTATAGCTACTGATGAGATTGCAAATTACCTGTAGTTCTAGATATAGTGTTACCGATGCTTTATATTGATTTCCGGTCATTTCAACTAAGTTGATTGTAAAATTTTAGAAAATTTGCACAAAGCCATATCACGCGCACTCACTCAGTAATCCAAGAGATTGATCTTCGGGAGAAGTTACGGACGCTAAGTGCTTCTGAGACAATAGGTATATATATATTAGGAGTTATAGTGTGGAATAGCATGTTAGCAGTTACCGTTGGGTGAGAGACTCAATACGATCAGGAAAACAGCTATATGGTAGTGATTAGTGAATCCCACATAACTTAAGTTCTTGGAAAAAACTCCGATCATAAAATTGTTTTTTTCTAGTAGTTACTTGTTACACTGACTATATATAGTTCAGAAAAACACAGTCCATCATACAATATACTAACTAGAACATTTAACTAAATCAATTTGATACAAAGCAAAAATAGCCTGCGAAGTGTTTCTGTACAGAAGAGTAGTTCCGAACACAAAGTGTTTCGAAAAATGCAGCGTCTGAAGAAAGTGACATAGAGTATCTGACTGAATTTGAGTAATGGGAAAATTAATAAATCTGTTTAAACAATGTCGGCCCTAAAATGTATTCGTCAGAGGGCTGGATTTGTAGAACTACGCTTGTTTTGCAATCGAAGAGAAGCTATTCGATGATAAAGCGAGAATAACAGATTCCTCCGATTTTGAATCAGAATTCTCTATGCGGTATTCGATCTTCTTTCTATTCGGCTGGCGGAAGATCATCCCGTGTATCGGTTAACAGCTCTGAAAGCAGTGACTCTCAGATTTTTGCCGAAAATTAACGATTGTAATACGAAAACCTTTAAAATTTAACCAACCATTTTTGAGAATATATTGTATTCGTCGGATGTGGTCATGTTTCGGAGGCACAAAAGAATTGCAATGATTACAATACGCGAGAAGTGAAGGAATAGTAACACGAAGCCTCCTAAGATAAAAAAAAAAGTTACTAGGGCATCATAACAGAATCGAAATATTTTGAATCAAGAATAGGAGCATAGATTCAAATTCAACTGTCGGCACACATTGCAAATGCGATTGCTACAAATTGGATGGTCAATGAAAATTCAACGAAAATTTATTTCTTTGGTAGGCTATAAACAGTTGCCAATGAATGTTTCTGTTTCGTTCCGTGTAGCCTACATACTGTTTTAAGAATACAGGCCTCATCAATTACAGACCTGTGCACGTATGATTAGTATTTTTCACGGCAATTGTTTTAGGAGTGTCCGTGCACAGAATTCATCAACATAGTTTCGATTTAAGTTTGTATGTGTCTACGGCTTTTAGTGTGTGTACTGGTGAGCGGGCACATGATATTTTTCCGTGTTTTAAGACTAGAAGGTTTTGTTCGTTGTCCAGAATTCTCCATGATCGATTTGTTTGTATCATGAGGTTTTCAAAATAAACTAATTATCTGTGTGCATAGTTACTGACCGAATCGAATGGATCTAAAACAAATAGCTGGCTGATTAACCCCATAACTAACAAGAACTGGTACCTAGAAAGGATGTATTCTATATTTTTCTGGTAATTTGCCAAAGATGCTCGTTTACATAAATTACGCATTCCTCATCCTCCTGGAATTGTTGGCCTAGCGTACTACAAAGATTATTTGGTATACCGGTACGTCAGTTGATTTCACTACATGGTATTTTAATATCTAGAACAGGGGTCACCAACGCGTTGCCCGCGGGCACCAAGTCGCCCGCGAAGACCATATTAGTCGCCCGCAGGTCTGTTTCAAACTAAGCTTAATAACGGCTCTTATAAGTAAGCTACATCAATTATATTTTGTCCTGCTATTTTAGTATAAATCACACTTATATGGGAACTAGAAATGACACTATATTAATTATTGTAACCATCAACCTTATTTTTATTTGGCCTCAGTAATGTGACGGGTCAATTAACACTCTTCCAATTATGACATCACTTTCCACGAACCCGCGCTTTTTCTTGTCCGTTGGTTAGCGGAGCAGTAATAATACAATTATTGATTCCAAAGAAAAATCCATCATTTTCACGATGAATGCGAGGTGGGTATATTTATACCACCATGAAAACAGCCTGCGTGTGTCTCATTAGTGGGGCGATTTTAGCGACGGCAAAGCGGAGAGATATTTCACATCTTGTCACGTAATCTTCCGCGCTAACTACCCACTGGTCAGCACAGTACGGACTGAAAAAGCTCGCGATTCAAATCATACAGCAATCCTATTTTACGAGACCCTCGTTTGTTTCAACCTATCCTTTCGAATCAACATTTTTGACATAAATTCAGGATAGGACGAGATTTACATATTTATCCCGGGGGAGAAGATAGCCGATAGGACGGCTTAACCATATGATAAACCACGGCTTCTCGTCGGTTACCATATAGCAACTAACCCCAAAATGTACCCCATCTCATGTTGAAATCATCAAAACAAAGTTAATTTTTCCCAAAATTCGAACAAAGACTTTCGTAGGAATCAAATTACACCAGGTTTAAGAACATAACAGGTTCCATCCAGTCATTATCAAATTAAAATCTATATTCTCAAGACCTTTGGCACTGACTGAAATAATTATCTCTAAGTTCCCATCCGTACGATGTACATAATTACCCTTATTGAGATAATAGGAGTTTCTGTTAAAACGTGAATCTCGAGCTCACGTTTACAGCATTTAATTGGATTTATGATCAACGTATAAATACGACTCCGATATCTTTCGATAGGAGAGAAGACGATGTGAACCATTCTAAGCTAGTCTGGATAAATGTTATAAGATTTATATTCTGTGTGTTGTGGAAATTTACGAATAAAAACATATAGAGATTTTTAACGCATCTTCATTCACGTGGGCGTTGAAGCTGAAGGGTGAACGGGTAACTTGCAAGTCAGAGACAATCTACGAAATAGCAATATACGGTAACAATACATTCATTTAACAACATATATGCTATAAATGGTGACAAAGCCGACTTGAATTAACCTTCTGAAACGGAGCAGATCAACAGGGTTCAACCACAAGTACGGACAACAATCAGGACTGGCAACAATTTGACGGAATCAACCAAAAAGATGACCAAGCGAAAGCTTTCAACAATTGCCGAGAAACCGTCTCTACAAATGTGCGAAAATCAAATTCGACCAACTTACGAACGTCGGGGAGATTCAAATTGCCTGGAACAACGATTGAAGTAGCAAATTGCTGACAAGCCGAAATAATCAAAAACATTATGAAAAGACAATAATCTCAATTGAAAACAGTTGAACTATGGTAACGGACTCTGGAAACGTTAAAATCATGAATATGGACTGTATTGAACATCGATTGAAATGAACTCTTTTAGAACATGATATATGTTCGAGGTGAAAAACCTAATCAAAAACGAACTTTTGAAAACAATGAACTATATACATGGACTGTTTTACGGTAAATCACGCGCTCTATTCCGAATAATAGAGAGAGGAATTGTCGCGCATACCTAATGGATATACAGATCAGGAGCATGTTATACTACAATTTGTTTCATGATTTGCAGGTTTTTCTCCTCAATGAGACAGACATTTTTCATTCTTCCACTATTACTAAGGTAAAGTACTTCTTTTTCTTCGTATATATACATGGCGTTTCATTCGACTTTCAATTTTTATAAATTAATTAATGGTAACAACTTTGAATATTTTAATTTCAAATACCTTAAGTTCCCATCCGTACGATGTACATAATTACCCTTATTGAGATAATAGGAGTTTCTGTTAAAACGTGAATCTCGAGCTCACGTTTACAGCATTTAATTGGATTTATGATCAACGTATAAATACGACTCCGATATCTTTCGATAGGAGAGAAGACGATGTGAACCATTCTAAGCTAGTCTGGATAAATGTTATAAGATTTATATTCTGTGTGTTGTGGAAATTTACGAATAAAAACATATAGAGATTTTTAACGCGTGGGCGTTGAAGCTGAAGGGTGAACGGGTAACCTGCAAGTCAGAGACAATCTACGAAATAGCAATATACGGTAACAATACATTCATTTAACAACATATATGCTATAACCATTCGATGTCGGGTATAGAATTATTAGTTAGGTATTTGTTTCCGGAAGCCTGGACTTGATGGCGAAGGAAGCCTTAACCGACCAGCGGTTACGTGAACCACCCTACGGCGGCGAGGAGTCCAGCAATCCTTTTGCACATAACAATCCCCGCATTGGATTCTAACCTGCGAACCTAACGCTTAACACGATGGGCCATAGCGCCGCGACTCACTCAACCAGGAACAAACATGAAACACGCCTCACTGATGAAAATCTGCAAGACTCGCTCAGAGTTACAGTGTCAAGTTACACGTCGGAGTATAATACTCTGTAACATTTGATAGTACAACTGTTAAGTCCATTTTATCTCAGACTTGTGCAGAGTGTTGAAAATCAATTTGAAAACACTCAGTTTTGAAATACAAGTGTAATTGATAGAAATTTATTTGCAACGTTGTGATAATCGTTTGATTTCCTGAAGAATCCTGAAGTTTATTAGTGTCTACACTTCACTAAATACCAGTAATTATATCAATAATTGAAGCTTAATCGAGCAAGTGATTTTTTTAGAAGTGTACATTGAACTGGTAGCTTGATCTGTACCCAAAAAGTAGCCCTCGGCTTCGAAAAGGTTGGTGA